TTAACCCCCTTTGTCCTGCACAGGCTCCCACCTGATTTTTCCAGAGAGGTGTTGCCTGAAACACTGGCTTCAGTGTTGCCTGAAATTGTAGTACTTTTCCAGGTCAGTTAAGCCATTGGCTGCTTTCCTTGCTCAGGCCTCTTGGGACTGTGGTCAGTCCTCCTTTGCTCCCTCCCTCTTACCTACTTTCCAATTATTAACCCTTGAGCTGCGTGCACTTGACACCCTTGTTTGTGTGGGGTCTTATTTACATGATGATCCTTTCTTCTTTCTGCTCCTAGAGTCTCTTCCTTCAAGCAGCCAGGAGGGAGGCCCATGGCGCCTTTGTCCAGGACATTTTTAAAGTCTCTGCCTTTCTTCAGGCCACAAAATTATAACATCAGTTGTTTAGAGAGCATGGATTAAGTCCTAGACACCATAATAAGTGATTTTCATTCATTAGTTCAGCTGTTCAGTCAGATATATGTATTAATGTTTACTAAGTGGCATAAGTATTTCTTTGGTCATGGAGATACAGCAGAAAACAAGACAAAGTCCCTGTCCCCATGGTATTTAGCAGAAGACTAGAAAGATGAACAGCAAATATACAGCATACTCTCAGGCAGTAGTAAGTGCTCCAAAGAAAAATAAATAAAGCAAGTTAAGAGCATAGGGAGTGACAGGGAAGACACATCTGAGAAGGGGCCTGAATGAAGGGAAGGAGTGAGTCCTGAGAACAATGGTGGGAAAAGCATCTCAGGTGGAGGGAACAGCAAGTGCAAAGGCCTCAGGTGGGAATGAGGTGAGCAAGAGGAAGAGGGGAGGAGAAGGAGTCAGAAAGACAAGCTGGTTCACATCTGGAGGGGTGTGGTAGGTGATGGTAAGACTGTGGATACAGTCTATGGAGAAGGAGTTAAACTCATGGAGTTGATACGATTTTGCCTGTTCTACAGGTGAAGGGGTTGAGACAGAAAGGCGTCGAGCAACCTGGGTATTCAAGGACTCAGGAAGTAAGAGGCAGATCCCAGGCTTGTACAGGCTGACTCCTAAGGCCACTGCCAGGATGCAGGGTCCCGGCCCTCTTCCAGGGACTCCAGTGCTGACTCCTGAAGGCTGGCTAAGGGAGAGGGAGGGGTCCCCGTTCCCCAGGTCCCTCCAATGCTTGGGCACGGGCGGAGGGAGCCCCAGTCATAAGCCATGGGCAGGTGTGGGCTGGCTGGGGCTCCTGGAGAGGATCTCAGATTCCTCATGGTGGGCAGGGTGGCAGTGGCTGAGCCTCAGGCCAGCTGGACCCAGGGAAGTGCTGACCTGGCACAAAGGTTCTGGCTCCATTACCCGCCCACTGTCGATGAATCAATTGAATCAGTCAACTGAAAAATTAACTCAAACCCACAGAAGGCCACTGGGAGGTACATGCCTGGGACTAAGGCTGTAGGGCACTGTCACCCTCACCCTAGCTCTGGGGGACGAGCTCCAACCTCTCCCAGGCGAACCTTCTGAGGGCTCCATATGTCTGCCTCTCCTCATATTTCCTCTGTTGGCAAACCTTCTCACAGGCCTAATGGCGTGTGCCTTGTCTGTGCTTCCTGGATTTATTTATCAAGTTTTAATTGTACTCTTAGGATGTTCAAGTTCTGGCTGGGCCAGAATGGGGCACAAAATGACCAGCACAGGGACTTTGCCCTCGAGAAACTTAAGATTTCGCAGGGCCAGGAGAGGAGGGTCAGGTTCCTAGAGAAATAAAAGGTTGCACTGGGGAGAGAGGGAAGGATTTTTGTCAGTTCATTCACTGGGGCATTGTCAGTGCCAAGAACAGTGCTTGGCATATGGTGGGTGCTCAGTAAGTATGTGTCCAGTAAATGAATGTATGAGTGAGTGAACGGGGTGATGATTAGGCTGAGTATGGAAACAACACGACTCTAGGGTATTGCTGTCAACCTTGACTGCACAGGGGAATCACCCGGAGAGCTTTCTGATCTTCCTGTTGGACTGACCAGGATGCTCCCTGGGAACTGGGAGCATTAAAGCTCCTCAGGGAAGTCTCATGTGCAGCCTGGGCTAAGCACCGTGGCTCTTGGATTCACTACGAAACGGTCTAAGAGCGTGGGAGGGCTGCCGCTTCAGAGACACCTGATAGGTCCCAGCCCAGGTGCTCTGTGTTCAGTGACTGGGAAGAGTCTGTCCCCTTCCTTTGGCATCGTGCCCACCGAGCCAGTGTTAAACACCCCCCTCCACAGTCCTCCCCACTTCGGCTTCCCTCCAGCCTGGGACTCACCCCTTCCACAGAGTCCCTTGCCGCTGCTCCCCTCCTGACCTTGCCCCACATTAAAGAGTTGATCAGCCCATGAATTAATTGTGTCCTAATCCAATCTTGGCTTGGTTGGAGAGAGGGCAGTAAATCCAGCTGGGTAATCATGCCTTGATATTTGTGTAGGGATAATTACTATCTCTCAGGCCTCACTTGGTGGCAAGATGAGATGAAAACCCATAAAACACCACTCAGGGCTGTGGCTCATTGTTTCTTGGCTGCACAAGGCTGGCTATCTGCCAGTCAGCTCTGCCTGCCCCTGTCCCTCCCTCTGGCACCAGCCCCAACCCCATCCCCTCCCATTCAGGCAACTGGCAGGGCTCAACAGCAAGGGCAGTCTGGGGTGGATCCTGGCTTGGGCTCAGACACCAGTAGGGGCAACAGTATAGGCCAGGGTAAAGCCACTGTGTGTGTGTGTGTGTGTGTGTGTGTGTGTGTATAGGCAGGGAAGGTGATCACCTGACTCCAGGAGGTTGGGAGTGTGCAGGACAGTGAATGCACAAGTCTGAACTGCACAGTGGGATCCAGAACAACCCAAGAGGCTGCCACCATCTGGAAGAGTCTGGGCCAGTCCAACCTGGCCCCAGAGGGACATGAGACTCTGCATCCTTCAGGAGGAAGTGTGGCTTGGGACTTCCCTGCAGATGTTATGGACCAATGGGAGCAGACATCTGTCTGCAGCCCCAAGAATACAGCCTCTCAACTCATGGAACATGGAGTGCCAGCTGTGAGCCTGGCTCTCTACTAGGTGCCCAGGGCCTCAGATTGAGTAAGGCCATAGATTGTGCTGATTAAAAGGATGGATCTTGAGTCAAACACTTGGGTCTGAATCCTGGGGTGTACAAGTTGTGTGCCTTGGGCAAGTCATGTGACCTCTTTGTGCCTCAGTTTCCTCAACTATAAAGTGGGCTATACCAGGACCTACATACTTGAGCTGTCCTAAGACTTAAATGAGATGACTCTGGGAGATAGTGAAGGACATGGAAGCCTGGGGTGCTGCAATCCATGGGGTTTCAAAGAGTCAGACATGACTGAGCAACTGAACAACAAGAAGACAAAGCACTTAGACCCCCACCCTGGCACCGAGTTAGTTCAGTCACTCAGTCGTGTCTGACTCTTTGTGACCCCATGAATCGCAGCACGCCAGGCCTCCCTGTCCATCACAAACTCCTGGAGTTTACTCAAACTCATGCCCATTGAGTGGGCGATGCCATCCAGCCATCTCATCCTCTGTCGTCCCCTTCTCCTCCTGCCCCATCTCATCCTCTGTCATCCCCTTCTCCTCCTGCCCCCAATCCCTCCAAGCATCAGGGTCTTTTCCAATGAGTCAACTCTTTGCATCAGGTGGCCAAAGTATTGGAGTTTCAGCTTCAGCATCAGTCTTTCCAATGAACACCCAGGACTGATCTCCTTTAGGATGGACTGGTTGGATCTCCTTGCTGTCCAAGGGACTCTCAAGAGTCTTCTCCAACACCACAGTTCAAAAGCATCAATTTTTCGGCACTCAGCTCTCTTTATAGTCCAACTCTCACATCCATACATGACCACTGGAAAAACCATAGCCTTGACTAGACGGACCTTTGTTGACAAAGTAATGTCTCTACTTTTTAATATGCTGTCTAGGTTGGTCATAACTTTCCTTCCAAGGAGTAAGCGTCTTTTAATTTCATGGCTGCAGTCACCATCTGCAGTGATTTTGGAGCCCCAAAAAATAAAGTCTGACACTGTTTCCACTGTCTCACCATCTATTTCCCATGAGGTGATGGGACCAGATGCCATGATCTTAGTTTTCTGAATGTTAAGCTTTAAGCCAGCTTTTTCACTCTCCTCTTTCACTTTCATCAAGAGGCTTTTTAGTTCCTCTTCACTTTCTGCTGAGTAGGAGCTACTAAAATATTAGTTATTTTCATCATTGTTATTATTATGTAGCCTTCTGGGCATCAGTTTCCCTCAGCCATTCCTTGGGATGTAGGACATCACTACTCAAAGTGTGGTCCACCTGGACCAGCAGCAGCAGCATCACCTGAGAGTTTGTTAGCAAGGCAGGCTCTCGGGCCCCAGCCAGGCCTGCTGAGGCAGATTCTGCATTTACACAAGAGCCCAAGTGACACGGGATGGTGCTCTGGGCTAGGACAGGCCCCAGGTCTGTCTCCCTCCAAGTTGTGTCCCCAGCCCCGAGGGCCTCTTGCCTGGCAGGGAGCAGGTACTTGGCAGGACTGTGGGGTGAAAGAATGAGCTCAGTTGAAGGCTTTGGGGGCCCGTGAAGGATTTCCGAGCATTTTAGAAAGGCCCCCTGAAAGTACCATGGAGGCTACGCCAGGGGGTGGGGGTCATCTGCGGGTGATGGGTGTAGAAGTCCTGAATGACGGAGTCGCACAGCAGCTGGGGGAGAAGGGAGGACGGGTTACTTAGGAGGATGGGGGGCCGCTGTGACTGGAGGGCAAAGAGGACATATGGCCTGAGGGAGAGGGACTGGCCTTCTGCTCAAGGCCTCTATCGCCAGGCCCAGGGGCCGGGAGGTGAGAGAAAGCTTCATGCGCAAGAGAAGAAAGGGCCTCCTCGGGGTGTCACTGTTGGGTCACTGCTGGGACAAACCGAGGTCCCGGAGGTGGCCGGGCCTGGCCCTGGGGAAGCTGGTGACTGTAACCTGGTGATGGGAGGAGGAAGGTGGGAGCCTCCTTCCTAGGGAAGGCCCAAGGCCTGCAGCCCTTACCTGAGAAGGCATTATTGGTGTTGAGGAAGTAGATCTCCTCGCGGCCGTCCCCGTCAATGTCACAGGCTGTGACCCCGATGGCGTTGCCCTGCCGGTCACGCAGCGCGTAGTACGGGGAGCTGCGCTCGTCCACCGCGATGTTCACCAGCCGCTTCTGGGCCCGATCGTACTTCAGAACCAGGTTGGGGCCATTGTACCTGGAGGAAGGCGGAGGGAAATGTTGGGGAGGAGCGGCTGGGCCCGCCTGGTTCCACCCGACCAGAGCAGTGGGCTCAGAGCCCTCCTGGACAGGCCAATGTGGGGACATATCCATCCCAGAACATTCCCAGGGAACTTCTGGCAGCCTTGTCTTGGGGTCTCCAGGCATCTGACGAGCGTCCCTGAATCAGAGGTGGACTTCAGCAAAGTGAGAATCAACAGGGCCCACGTGGGATGCAATATGGGGAGCAGGGTGGTGGAGGGGAGTGGGCAGCCAGTGATGAGCCCTTATCATAGGCTTTGCTGAAGAAAACAAAAAGCAACGTGACATTTATCTTACCCGTTTCAATATAAAAGTCACTTTCTATATGATCTCATTAAGTTTAACAACAAATGGGCTTCCCTCATAGTTCAATTGGTAAAGAATCCACCAGCCATGCAAGAGACCCTGGTTCGATTCCTGGGCCGGGAAGATCCCCTGGAGTAAGGGATAGGCTACCCATTCCAGTATTCTTGGGCTACCCTGTGGCTCAGCTGGTAAAGAATCTGCCTGCAGTGCTGGATACCTGGGTTCGATCCTCTGGGATAGGAAGATCCCTTGGAGAAGGAAAGGCTACCCACTCCAGTATTCTGGCCTGGAGAATTCCATGGACTGTATAGTCCATGGGGTTACAAAGAGACACGACTGAGAGATGTTTACTTTCACTTTAAGTTTAACAATAATCAAGTGAGGTAGGCATGGGTGGCTGCATTATTAACCTATTTTGCAGATGAGGCAACTGCTGAACTTCAGCAGTGTAACCGGGGCTCAGAGAGGTGGAAGGCCCTTCCTCAGGTAACAAAGGTGCTGTTAGGTGCTGGAACTTGAACCCAGGCTCTCTCTGCTGTCCAAAGGGCCCTTGGGTAAATGAGACCTAGAAACACAGAAGGCTTTGTCACTGAGGTTTAGAATGAATCTCTTAAATAGTAGCATTATGAATGCATCTAAAGTCATCACGTGGATCTTTTTTTCTCTGAGGAACAACACAAAAGATTAAATTGCTGCTCAGTCCTCGTCTCTCTCTTGTCTGACTCTCCTGTAGCCACACTGGCCTCCCTGCTGAACGCTCCTGCCTCAAGGACTTTGTACTTGCTGTTCTCTCTGCCCAGAACGCTTTTCCCTGAGATCCACATGGCTGTCTCCCTCCTTCACATCCTTCAGACTTTCACTCAGTTGTCCTTCTTGATGAGGCCTTCCTTCCCACATTTCTGAAACTTGAAATCACCATCACCCAGTATCCCTTACCCTTCAGCCTCTCCATGTCTTTTACCACTAGCTGATCATTTTCTATTTTCCTCTTTATCTCTTCTTCCTCTGTTCCCGCTAGAATGTCAGCTCCACGAGGGCAGAACTTTCTGTCTCCTTTGTTCTGCAAGGCCTAGCACTGTGCCTGGTACACAGTAGGTTCTCAATAAATCTTTGTTGACTCAGAGCCCAATAGCTGAGTCACAAGGGCTTAGGTGTCCTGTGGTTGATTTCTTCCCAGCGCCTTTCCACATGGAGAGTGGTGTGCCCAAGGTCACCCCCAGGCAGCACTGCCAGGAATGTCTGAGGACTCCTCCCTCCTCCTGGAACACCTGTCAGGCTCTCCAACCCCCATCCATTAGTCCCCGGGCTCCTGCCTTTGTTTTAGCCCAAGCGTGTGCATCCTGAGCAGAGTTCGGCTGCCAGCCACTGGACGTCCCCTGCGGAGCACACGGCAGGGAGGGAGGAAAGAACTCTCCAAGGTCTTTGAGAGAAATCACTTCTTGCTTTCCTGAAACACATCCAATTTGGCTCTTTCCTTCGTCACCAAGACACAGAGCCAGTGAAGTTTAGGGGGTGCTGAGGCCAGGCGCCTTCTGGCATCCACAGTGTGCAAAAGGGGAGCTGAGCTCACTGGGGGCTGAGTCAGCACCCGGTGATGGAAGGTCGTGCCTTAGACGCCTTGACAAACGGCGTCTGAGGGCTGTCGGGGTGTTGTATGACCTATGGGACGTGTCTAGACAGCAAAGACGGAACTCTTGGGTTCCCGCCCTGTCAGCAGCTGGCTCAAGCCATCAGGGACAGTAAGTGCCTTCCGGGCGCTAAATGCTAGTCCTCAAAGCCTTCAGGTCTTCTGTTTACCGCCATTACTGCTCCTCAAGAGACAGTATAGTTCTGGGGCCCTAGGCCTGGCTACAAGCACTTTCCCAGGCATTGCTTCACCTGAACCCCAGTAATCCCAGGAAGATAGTAAAGAAGGCGTTTTCCTAGAAAAGGAGATGGAGGGTCAGAGAGGCAAAGTAGGCTGTCCAAGACTGCACGGCTTGTACACGGCAGCATACAGCTTCTAAAATAACTGTCTTCAGGTCCAATCCTGTGCTTTTCCCACACTGCCTGTGATGCCTACACTCTTTGTCCTTTTTTTTTTTTCTGGTGACCTCTCCCAAAGTAGCAACATGGGAAAATGCCCAAGAACTTGCCATAAAGTGGAGATAATAATCCTACACTTTACAGTTTATAAAACACTTTCTCATCCTTGATTTCATTTGCTTCTCTGCAGGTGCTGACTCTTTCAGAGGTTAGTTTTGGGACCTTAGGCTGGTCAGTTCCCCTCTCTAGGTGGAGAGTTTCTCTTCTGCAAAATGAGAGTTGGACCAAATCACAGGGTCACAAAGTGTGTGGACACACGTGGGGGTGGGCCTCAGGCCCTCTTTGCTCAGTTTCATCCAGAGCCATTTCTATGTGGATGCATTTTATTTTGGGGGCTTCCCCGATAGCTCAGCGGTAAAAAATCTGCCTGCCATGCAGCGGGAGATGCAGGAGACACGAGTTCAATCCCTGGGTCAGGAAGATCCTCTGGAGGAGGAAATGGCAACCCACTTCAGTATTCTTGCTTGGAAAACATCTCAGTCCACGGGTTCACAAAGAGTTGAACACGCCTGAGTCACTAAACACATATGCGTGCATTTTATTTTATGCATCACATTCCATAAAATGCTGTTTAAACAAGGGATTCCAGAGCCAGCGTTTAAAAGGCACTGGACTAAAAGCTGTGTGAGAGCCTTTGCTCTTAAAATAGGGCCTTGAGTCTAACTCACCTCAGGGGACAGAGAGAGTGGGCTGGGCCCCGCCCTCCAGGCCATGGTTGAGGGGCTACCATAGAAAGTCCAGCCCTGACACCACTCTTTCGCACCCCCTGTCCCTTGGGTCTCCTGGAAGGTCTCTACCACCCCCCAGGAGCCACTTCCCAGTGTGGGAGAGGTCATGGCCTCCACACCTATTGGAAGCCAGTCCTTTTACCCTGAATGTGGGGTGGTGGGTGGTCACACAAGCTCCCATGGTGGTGGCCCTGGGGTAGCAGGTGGCCCTGGATCATCTCTCCTTTGAACCACTTGGGGGTGCTACTCCCAGTACTCTCTAAAGGGTAGCAGGTGGAGGTGCCAGGCTGGCTCAGGGTGCCACAGAGTCTTCCCCAAACCTACAAGGCAGCCTGGGATGAAACCTGACCCTTTGGTCCCTGTGTCCACCACCACCCCTAGGGGCTACAGACACAAAGCCAAACCAATGGCTCCTACACAGGGGTCCCAGCAACCCGGGGAGAAAGCTGGGGGCAGGGCACGGAGTTGCCATGCCTTCCATCCACCACAGCTTCCCTTGGCTGGCTCTGCCTCCCTGACACCAGAGCCTCATATAGTCTCCCCCCAGGACAGCCAGCCTCATCCCCTTCCGCTCTGCTCCATGGAGCTGATGCTCTAGTTGGTTCCTTACTACCTGGCCTTTCAGGTGGCAGTTGTTCTCCCGGCCCTCCCCTCCTCCCAGGAAGCCTGCCCCAGCTGCCCGGCCTAGATGTGATCTTCTCTTGTTTGGACACCCACAGCATTTTGCACCTCGTTTATTCCCTCGAGGCAAAATTGTTTGTGTTCCAACATCGCTTCCCCTCATTAAAACATATGCTTCTTGAGCCCAGGAAGATGTGTGTGCATTTCTGCATTTGCTGCGCCTAGAGCCATGCTTGGCAGAGAGAAGGTGCCCAGCAAGTGTCTGAGTGAATGAGTGAGCGAATACAGGAAAAGCATCATGACTGGCACTTATAGAGCAGTCACTGTGTACCAAGCATCCTTCCAAGTGCTCTATAACCCCTACCTCATATCACCCTCATGACAGTCCTAGGATTTTACAGATCTGGAGACTGGGGTGTGAGAGGTTAGTCACTGTCCCTCTGGGGTATCAGTTCCCACAACAGGGGTGGGGAGATGGATGTGAGGCACATGGGGTTTCATGTTTCCTCTAACACCTGCCTGAGCTTGTTGGGCACTTCTAGAAATTCAGGAGGCTTTGAAGCTCAATTGAACAGGCTTAGGAAGTGGGACAGGGTCCCCTGTTCTTGGAAAGCAGCTGTGACTTTATAATATCAAAGGATAGGCCCATAGGCACAAGTGATTGGCTTGCTGGAAATTTAAAAATCTGCTTGCGAGACACCAGTGGGGCACGACCCATTCTTGTGTGTTTGCTGGCCAAGTTTCGTGCCAGTCCACTGCCATGGACAGGGAGGGGCCTGGGGGTCAGGCCAAGAAGAGCAGCCTGGGCGTGGGGTCCTGGGCCTGCCACTTCCTGGCTCTGACCTTGAGCTTGTCACTCAGTTCCTCTAAGCTTCAGCTTCCTCATCTACAAGTCTGTGAAGATAAGCCAGTGTATGTGATAACACTTGGTAAACTGTGAAGAGTTACACAATCGTAAGTTCTCATCATTATTTAAAAAAAAAAAAAAGCGCCAAGGCACCATCTCTCACCCTCCAGAGTGATCACTTTGAGTTTCCAAACACACAATAATGTTTCTCATCCCCAAACATCCCACCCGTGATCTCTCACCTGCCGAAACATTTTATTCTCCTTTGTCACTAAACTCAAATAGTTGTCTTCACAAGCGGTCTCCACTTTCTCGCTGCCCATTTACCTCACCCCAATTCACATTCCAGGCTTCCCAGGTGGTGCTGGT